TATATATATATATATACACGTATTTTCAGTCTCCGCAGGGAACTTCATATACTCCTTGGTCTTCTAGACCATGGCTGATGGTAGCTATTGCCAATCTTCCTGTCCGTGTTGAAGATGGTTTCTATTTTGTTTCTTTAAAACCCTGGTTATTTTGTCGGTAGTTCCCTTGACGTATGACAGGAGAGCTTTGACTATTGGTTTATCTTATTCCTTCTATTCTTTGTTTCGTCTAGGTCTTAAAGCCCTATTGATGTTGTTACCAGAGAAATCATTTTGCTGTAAGGCTAATTTAACATTTTTAATATCCTCTTCTTTGTGGTCGTCGTCAGAGAGTCGTTCTGACCTTGTCATTAGTGTTTTGATCACTGATTGTAGCTGCGATGGGTGGTGGTGAGATTCTGCGTGTAGGTACCTGTTTGTGTGTGTTGGTTTTCCTATATAATGTATAGCCTAGACCTCCATCTTCTTTTTTCTTTATACATACATCGAGGAACGGTAGCTGTTGGTCTTTTTCCAGTCCCATGGTGTCCATATGACAAAGGTGCCATCAACATATCTTAGCCACCCACATAGATGGTTTATATTCTGCTGTTTCTATTGCCTGTTCTTCTAATTCCTTAATGAATAGGTTGGCTATGATTGGTGACAAAGGCGATCCTATGTGTGCTCCTTCTGTTTGCCTATACTTTTGGTTATTGTAGACAAAATAAGTGTTCTGTAGGCAGTGTTTCGGCAATTCCATTAGATCCTCTCTGACATGGTATTTCCTCTGGATCATGTCGAGTGCTTGTTCCACTGGAATATTTGTAAATAGAGACGCTACATCAAAGCTTACTAGCAGATGTCCTGGATCCACTCTTACGTTTCTAATACGCTCGATGAAGTGGCTCGCATTCTTGACGTAAGATTTCGCTTCTTCAGCGTATGGTTGTAATTGTTTAGCCAGGAGTTTTGCCAGATGTTGTAATGGTGGTCAAGGGAACTACCGACAAAATAAGCAGGGTTTTAAAGGAACATAAAATAGAAACCATCTTCAACACGGACAGGAAGCCAAAACAAACATTTCTCTAGAAGACCACGGAGTATATGAAGTTCCCTGCGGAGACTGAAAATACGTACATTGGACAAACTAACAGACGAATTCAAACCCGGAAAGAAGAACATAGGAATCCTGTCCAGAAAAATTTAAAAACTTCATCATTCGCTCAACATGCAGAAAACACTGGCCACACGTAACTAAACCCAAAGATTACTAATAGCTTGGAAGCAGATCAATAAACCAGTGATACGTAACGCTGAGAATATGTCAAGCAGAAACACAAGAACCCACAGCACCGTTAAACGTAAGACCCGTGATGCGCAGCCACGCGCGCGAAGAAAACCACACACCGGAACGAAAGCACAGTAGGTATATAACTCACCAAGTGGACAAACACCTTCCAGTAAGCCGAAATAAGCGAACGTAGTAACGCGAAGCAGAAGTAAGAAGACCTGAAGATGGTAAATGAAATTTTACCCAAACGTCGTCAAACAAATGGTTCTTTTTAGGACCATGCAGATTCATCGTGAAAAGAAACCCAGAGAAATTCTCCAACCATATATACATATATACAGGCTGTTACAAATTCGCTTCTCACCACAGGGATCTCGGAAACGGTAAGAGATACGAAGTAGCTTACATGGGGGCAAAGTTGCGTAATCAGGGGACTAATATTATGCCTCTAAAAATCAAGGCTAACAGGATTAGTTTTCGAAATATTTGAAAAAAAAAAAGAAATTTTGGAAATCCGATTTTATTTCATTTCAGCCTTGTTTGAGGTGGTATTGAAAAAAGAAGAACACTTTCTCATGGAAACTTTTTGCCCTCTATTGAATAGCATAATCAATTTTTATATGTAACGTTTCGTCTCTCCAGGACCATCATCAACTTCATTTTTTTAAGTTCAACCCTGGAAATTTTATTACAGTTTTTGCAAGCCTTCATGACCCCCAATACTGTACCGCCTCAGCTCAAATCAAATTCAGACGTTTTGTCTCGAAAAATTCATCTTCGATGTATTCGTTCCAAATTTATCTATTTTTTTTTTTAGATATCTATGTTTCTTGAATTATTGTACATTCTAAGTGTCGTTAGACCTTGTGAAATCCACATAGTTATTTAAAATATTACCATCACACGTTACAATAAAACATTATTATAGTTTTAATCCCGTGCTCATAGTTATTTCTAGGTTTCTCGAGTGCTCAAAATTCGAAGGATCTAATTTTTTTCAGGATATTCATATAAATATATCTGACATGCTCTTTCACAGTTGGGGTTACAGGTATAATAAATTCCGATCATATTATACTTATCTTCATTTTCAACATTTGCCAAAACAGAAACGTTTCTGAACATTTAGATACTGTAATTTTTTAAAGTATAATATTCACTTGGAGTTTTGGTTGTTCATATGCAGAATTAGTTTGTCATAATGAAATAAAAATTGTAATAATGTTTTAATTTTGAAGCAACAACTTATCGAATTATGTATGACCAGGTGATTAAAACTCTAATAATGCTTTAGTGTAACGTGTGATGGTAATAGTTTAAATAACTGGGTGGATTTAATAGGGTCTAATGACACCTTAGAGTGTACGATAATTCAATAAACATAGAAATCTAAATAAAAAATATAGATAAACTTGGAACGAATACATTAAAGATGATTTTTTAGAGACCAAACGTCTGAATGTTTTAAATAAACATTACAAACTTGGCGGCACGAGAAAAATGTCAACAAACATTCATTTTGTTAGTGGAGTAAAAAATAAATATTTATAAAATATAGGGGAGAGTTAGCCAAAACGAGATAGTCTGTTAAAACGAGACACTCATCTTTATTCAGCAAGTGATCTATCGAGCGATAGCAAAACTAACATCACCTGTCAGTTCTCCTGACGGGGCATATATTTCGTTCCCTGTATTTCAATCCTGGGTGACGTAAACGTCAAGTTTTTTAAATAATAGCGTAATGTTATATTGTTTCGTTCTCGATTATTGCGTTGTTGTTTATTCCTCACTCCAAAATAAAATAAGGTGAGTACACTCAGCGGATTCTACAACAAATTTATCTATTTATTTGATGTTATCATTAGTAGTTTACAGTTTTTTATTATAAAAATATAATTTTTTGTCTCATAATACACAGTCGGGTAAAAAAGGATAGTAAACGGTTGGTTAAAATGGGATACTATCCCATATTGCCCTGCCATAATGTAAGGTTTTTATAGAGTAGGTTTTTTTTAGTTTCTAAACTAAATGGGGAAGTACAGTGTAGGAAAGTACCGATGGTCTATCAGAAGTTACGTGAGAGCGATAAAGTAAGCCATAGAAGTCCATGTGAAAGACAAGGATGGCTATAAGAAGGCGTCTAATAGTCAACGCCCATTTCGCCCTTCCACAAATAAGATCCACTTCTTATTTGTGGAAGGGCGAAATGGGCGTTGACTATTAGACGTCTTCATTATAGCCATCCTTGTCTATCACATGGATTTCTATGGCTTACTTTATCGCTCTCACGTAACTTCTGATAGACTATCGGTACTTTCCTACACTGTATAAAAGAAAAACGAATAGGCAATCTTGGAATGCCGACTGTATGCGTTGCACACTTGCCGAACTGGCTAGCCGGGATCCGGCTATCCGGATCCAGTTGGCTCTTTCACACGCAATTTAATTTTCAAACCGGTTTGACCGATATTAGTCTCAGTTGCATTTTTATCACGACAAGAGATGGATCGTAGACGAATTGCAATTATGCTTGGCTATTGCCGATGTCGTCGCAATAAAAAAAAACAAAGAATATGAAAAATATCCAAATTTTATGAAGAGGCTAAAGTTTTGTCCCACTGGACAGGTCTGTATTCAAGGAGTGATATGAAGAATGCTATATCTACTTCTAGCGAACAAACATTCGACATAGTTGCGTACAAATATTTAAAAAAATAATTGACACGTCCTGTTCTTTTCAATGAAACCGGACGACTGACCCCGGCAAGCACCCGGCAAATGTGAAAGCGTCAATACAAAACTATGCACTACTACCACTTCGGTCGCCGGATAGCCGGTACACGACAGCCGGGCTAGCAGTGGTGGCGACCGGCTACAACCCGGCGGCCGTTCGCCGGATAGTTCCTTCCGTCACACGTGTGAAAGCTGCCATAAGACTCTGTACCCCTTGCTGCCGGGTAACCGGATCAGGTTAGCCGGTTCCGGCATGTGTTCAAAGGGTGTCAGGGTGTGGAAGAAGTACTGGAAGGAAAAATAGGGTACCTTAAAGCTTCAAAAGTGTTTGGAGTTCCTCGCACCACACTAGAAGCAAGAGTAAAAAAAGTTAAGAAATGTGTTGTCAGGAGAGAAAATTCAGCAAAAAAAGGGCTAGAACGCCATAAGCCAGTTTTTTCGCCTGTGCAGGAAGAGCAATTAGTGCAGCATACTTTGTCTATGGAGGCCCGTCTCCTTGGCTTCACACTAAATGATCTGCGAGTTTAGCTTTTCAATTGGCGATTCGCAATAACTTAACTCATCAATTCAACATAGGTAAGAAAAAAGCGGGTAAGGCTTGGTTGTTTGCATTTTTAAGTAGGCATCCCAATGTAAAGCTTCGAATTCCTGAGCCAACTTCATTAGCTAGGGCGATAAGTTTTAATAAGCCTGCCGTAAAAAATATTTTTTTGCTGCTAAGAGAAGTATTAAATAAACATAAAATACCTCCAGATCGTATTTACAACGTCGACGAGACGGGAATTATGACAGTACCAAAAAAACAATCCAAATGTTTATCATTGAGGAGAAAGAGACAGGTTGGCTGCTTGACTTCAGGAGAACGAGGGGTGCTTGTTACGGTAGAAATTTACATGAGCGCTAGTGGTGCTTTTATGCCGCCTATGTTCATCTTTTCTAGGTCTAGGACAAAACCAGAACTTCAAGATGATGCTCCCCCTGGCAGTACAGCACACTATCATCCATCAGGTTGGATGCAAAAAGAAATATTTTTAAGTTGGTTCGATCAATTTATTTCATTTTGGAAGCCTTCCAAGGAACATCCCGTTCTTTTGCTGTTAGACGGACATACCACCCACACCAAAAACCTTGATGTAATAGACAAAGCTAGAGAGAAAGGTGTTGTATTGCTTTGTTTTCCTCCACATACAACCCACTGGTTACAGCCGCTGGATGTTAGTTTCATGCCATCGCTGAGCACATATTACAGTTTAGAGGTCTAGAGATGGATGCAACAATATCCAGGTAGACCTGTTACTATAGCTCAAATAGGCAAACTGTTTGGAACTGCATATATGAAGGCTACAAGTGTTCAAACTGCTGTTAATGAATTTCGGAAAACAGGCATTTATCCGCTCAATCCAGAGATCTTTCCTGACTGGATGTATGAACCAGTTATATGCAACAATTGAGTCCCAAAAATCCGTTTCAACAAATTCAACTTTCTCCAACGAAAACCCCACCAAGATATACAATTCCTCTTCCACAAGGCCATGTTAGAAATATGCAACAATAGGGTGTTTTCTATATACAAAACTTTGCCTAGAACTGTATTTTAATACATAGTATAACATGTACATAAACACCTAAAATGGTTTACGTTACCTATTTCATGAGAATTTACTAAATATTTAATAATAAAAACCTATATAAAATTCAAATTTCAAAACGATTTGTAAAACATCATCTCATTGGTTGTGACATTGATGACATCACTACTCATATAAATGGCGAATGGTCTATGTCAAGTCATATGACAGGTAAGTATATACTTGCCTTGTATTAAGTTTTGATTTGAGAATCATTATTATTACAATTATTCTTAAAAGCTTATCAGGTGTTTTGTGATTAACAGTGATTGTGTTGTACATTCGCAAAACGAGAAATGGCTTCTCAGAGTTTTGTTAAAGCGTCGACGAACAATTTGCCATGTGTTCATATTTTTATGGTTACCGAATGACAGAACATGTGGTTTCGCCTGTATACCCACACTTTTAGCCTTCGCATTCATCCCTTTCTAAACTGGCTTGACCTGAGCTTGTACTGGGCCCATCAAAATCTATTACTGTTGGTAAAAATTCTTGTTCGACATTTGTTTCTCTTATTCTCTAGGTTATAGCTTCTTCTACTAACTGTTTTCTTTGTCATTTTAAAACAACAGTTCGCTGTGGTGCAGATGCAGCTCTTTTTCTGTCTTGTTGGCAATCAAATATATGTGGAACCACGTCCTGTTTTAATAAAACTTTTCCTCCGATAAGTTTATAGCGAACAAAATTTTCCATATCTTCTTGAAGCTAAAAAAGAAACAATAATAAGTAAACCATGTATAAAATAATATATAAAATTATACATATTTAAATAATATATCATTAAAATATTTACTTTTAAATTTTAAAGCAATAAAATAGTTTGTTAATACAAATTAACCTCAAAATTTAGAGCATTGTCCTTAAGGTACATAATTGATATTTACTTACGTTAAAATGATCCTCGCAAAAAAAATGTTGATTTTGATTTAGGAACATCTCGCTTGTCTGCTTTAAACCATTTAACTTTGCGTGAAGAATTCCGCGGTACACTTATAAATGTTTTATTAGGGGCACTTATTGAAGTATTTTTACATCCGGGCACAAAACACCACTTATTTTGTGATTCGTACATGTCTTACTTTTTGTATTATATAATTATTATTTAAAAAAAAGTAAATAAACTTGGCAAAATCTCAATAAAAAACCGGAGTAAATAAAATAACCTCAACACTCAACAGGTACTTGTACTTTGCTTTGTTGATATGAGTTCTACGTCACAATAGTCTAGGCAACCAGTCGTACTCGATTAGGCATTTTTCGCGCCAAATATTTTACTTAAATTTATATTTGTCTTAAAACTATTATAGCGATTTTTTTTAAACAAAAAAAGTTTTCATTAGTTATATATGGCTTAAGTACTTTCTATTTTTCAAGTAAAAAAAAATGTGAAAATACCCTATTAAGTCCTGAGAATGAAGGGCATAGTTTAGAAACAACTGCGACTATTTCAACTCAAAAATTTTACGCAAATGCAACTCCTTCATGTTCCTATAGCACCAAAACATTTTTGGTAACACCAGAACACATAGTAAACCAGGCAAGTTAGACAATAAATCAGAAATTTTTTTCTGATGAACCGATCGAGATGCGGTTTTCGGCATTGTCTTCGGAAAAATATCAGGAAAAAAGTCTATGTATTACACTTTGGGGCTGGATCGAAACTGCATTGCGGGTGCATAAAGTGCATCTTGGAGTGTATCAATTTTTTTCGAATTTTCTAAAAATGGTAAAAATTGACTAATGTTGTAGAAATTTAGTTTTCGGGGTCGGAGATTCCGAATCTGACCCTGAAAAATATGCCCGACGGCCCTGGGGACCCCAGGGGGGCAAGGGGGGAGCCTTCTGTAAAACATCGAATAGCTGAGTTATTGCCTTCTAAATTTCCACTCGGGGTTTTTTGGGGTCGGAGATTTCGATTCTGACACTGAAAAGTATGCCCGACGCCCCCGGGGTTCCCAAGGGGCAAGGGGGGCTTGTTTAAAACATCGAATAGCTGAGTAATTACCTTCTACTCGGGGTTTTTGGGGTCGGGGATTCCGATTTTGACACTGAAAACTGCTTTCTGGAAAACATCGAAAGGCACATCAGATTTTTGCAATAAAACTGCTGCACCCGGTTACCAACCATCATCTTGAAGGCTTATCTTTACATTGTAACCCACGACAAGAAGGGTAAGAAAAACTATCAGGAAATTAATGAGTCGAAAAGAACCCCCTTTATTCTAAGAACCAATTTTCTTTTTATTTGCAAGGCAATTAGTGAGACAACTACTATCATATGTTTATCTAACACTTTCACTATCAATCACAATTTTCATCATCAGTACTGCCATCATTGTCTCCATCACTATCATCTATTACATTTTCGACTATTTCAGGATTGGAACAGTTGGTTCCAAAACAATTTGTACATGCAATTGGGCATATTTTTCAGGGTCAGATTCGGAATCTCCGACCCCGAAAACCTGTGCACACAAATTTCTACAAGTTTTAGTCAATTTTTACTATTTTTAGAAAATTCGCAAAAATTGATGCACTCCAAGATGCACTTTATGCACTCGCAATGCAGTTTCGATCCAGCCCCAAAGTGTAATATATAGACTATTTTCCTGATATTCTTCCGAAGACAATGCCGAAAACCGGAACTCGATCGGTTCATCAGAAAAAAATTTCCGTATTCTGGGTGATTTTGGTCTAACTTGCCTGGATTATAATTCCACTTCTCCATGCGGAACGAAACAATCATAATAACAACAGAAGAAAAGGCAAAACTGTGATTCTAACATCAACATCATATAGAAAGGAACTTGTAGATGTTATTAATAATTCCAGACCCACAAATAAAGTAAAACTCAATATTGAAAGAAATGGAACAATTTTTACTTCGGATAAGAATAAGAAAAAAAAATAATAACATTGAAAACGAACAGAAAAGTAACAAAACCTCAAAGAAAAACAAAACAGAGAACGAAAACAGGGCCTCTAAAAAAAACAGTGGAAAATGAGAGTTCCAGTTCAGATGATGACATTCCGGACACAACTTGCATATTCTGCACAGAATTTTACTCAGATTCGAAGTCTGACGATGGGTGGATAAAATGTCAGCACTGCCAGGGTTGGGCCCACGAGGCTTGCGCTGGAATTGAAGACAATGATGATGACGTCTTTGTTCGAGACTTTTGTCGCAATAAATTGATTTGCATTATTCTGTTTTTGTTTAACTTTAAATAAATTTCAGCTTTTTCATATTTAGTGTCACTTATTTTTTGCATAATCCATAGTGCATCCCGTTTTATCCAACCGGTTGGACAAAACGGGATATTTTACATATTTAAAAAAAAACTTTTTTCTAAACGTATTTATTTTTTTTTAGAAACAAAACTTATGTATTTCAAACTTCATTTATCCGTGAATAGATACTCAAAGGAATTTTATTCTATTACTTCATTTCATTGATTAAATCAAGCGATAAATACTAGCTATCCCGTTTTACCCAGCTCTCCCCTACTAAATCTCGGGATTACGCTTTATGCTTTTCATTTTACTCTGATTTTTAAAATATATTTGTATATAATACCATGGTAGGATAACGTTATGACTATAACATTTAGAAATTTATAATTTATACAATTATAGCTTGCAGACTTGAACATATCGGCATTTTAAACATTATCAACTTTATTTTCTACTAATTATTCTTTCCTGTTTTTAGGGGCGGTAAGGTGAACTGGAAATCCTTAAACGATGAGGACCATGAAAAAAAATGTGATACAATGTTTCCACCATGGCAAGTGGAGGCTTCCTCATGAAAAATATTTGAAAATTTATTTTTTTTAACAATAAGTTGTCAAAGAGGACTTACTTCGAAGTTTGTTTATTCATTTTTTAATGTTTACCCTGCTATGCATCATTTTCACATTAAAGAAAACTGGACTACTACAGAACCAAAAAGGTAGAGTCTGACTGAAATATGACCGTTTGCCAGTTTAATGTTTTTAAAATTATGATTTGGTCAAATCATTGTAAAAATTATGACAGAACGCTATGAAACTAAAAAAAGGAAAGACAAGACTGCAGTTCAATTTGCTTTGCTAATTTGTTATTGCTAAAATGATTTTCAACATTGCGATTATAACATTACCAAACAAGCAAATAGCAATATTTAAAAAGAAAGTTCCTAGTTCCTTAAAATGAATTAATATTGTAGCAAAATGTACGAGGCAAGCATATTTGAACATTACTAATTGTAAGAAAAGTTGTAACAAGATTATCAACAACTTTACAACAAACTTGCCAAATTAACGTTTCCTCGCAAAGTTAGGGTGGCCTTTATAATTTTGTAACAAATTTTTTGCAAAATCATCGTAAAAATTTCTACTTTTATTTTATTTATAAATTTTTGACAATGTTGCAGCAATTATATTTTGCTTAGTGGGGTTTTCCTATAATTCAACTAGTATAATTAATAAGTGTTGATGAATAAAATATCGAATGGGAAAGGGAAAAGTGTCCCTCTCTCTTGAAGTACAAAATTGATTTGGCCTAGTAAGTTATTATATTTCTTTTTAGATGTTAAAGGTGAGAAATTACTACTAATTTTCTTTAGGCACTCTAATAAAATCGTAATCTTTAATTAGAAATATGAAAAGTATGTATTTTCATTCAACTACTTACCGGCAGAAAATATTGCCTCCCAACCTTTATTGTTATGGAGTGCATCGGTAATAAATCTGACCAACATTTCACCACTAGAAGCTGTTAGAGTAATTTTAGGTTTAGACTCTGCTGTAAATCCGTTTCCAGAATGAAGTCTTAATCCACGTGTAGTGGAACCATCGTATACTTGTAATATATCTGATTTATGTACTTCAAAAATATTGAAATTCAGAGACAACGGTCCACCTCCAGGATTCTTCAGTTTAAATAGACATTCTTGATTATTTGGATAATTACTTAATCCAAACGCAGGTGATACTAAAGTTCCATTGCGGGCTATAATAGTTGCTTTACAACCTAAAAATGTATCAAATATATAGTTTAAGTAACCTTAGTCCAAAATTTGATAGCTTCCGAGATACAGGGTGTTGAAGTTATAATTTTATTTTCTTCAATAACTTCATTATTAATTGTAGCAAATACAGAAAACTTGGTAAAGGGGAGTTTTCTGGTATGACCAATTGAAATTGGTTCTCTGTAGATTTTTAGAGAGCCACCTACCGTCTTTACACGCATTTAAATTGTCATAACTCTTTTGATTCCTGGTGTATTGAATTTTTAATAAAAAATTCTTGTTCTCTGATGTTTTTTATAAGAAAAAAGTATACTTGTTAAATGTCGTTTTGAACAATCGTTTTTTGGATTTCATTTTATAAACTTGTCATTGCCCTCCCAGTTTATCTAGATTTAGGTCCAAATTAGTTGTAATAATGTCATCAATACAAGTTGTAGGTTTTAAAAAACACTCTGTATAACACCAAAATGTGTAGATCGAAATCAAAAGTTCACACCCCAAAAATAATCAAATTCAATATTCGAGTTATTTACAAAATTCGAAAAATTTTCACCAACTTTGAGGCCATCTAGCGGTCAACCAAAGCGCTTTCGGATATAGGTGAATTAGCCAACTCTGCCTATTTTAAGTCCACGAATCTGTGGTCTTCCGTTGTACCCGTTATTCCAGGACACTCTGTATATACATGTACAGGCTGTCTACTATAAGAGGGCCACTCCTATGTATCTCGCTTAATACACGATGCACGTAAAAAATCTTTGTTGTGTGATGTTTTTTATTGCATTTTTTGAGATCCATGGCCAACTTTATGAGAAATCATAAAAAAATCGGAAAAGTACCGAAAGTTTAAGGCCGTCTAACTTTTTTATTTTAAGAGATAGGGAAAACTTATTTTAATAAAATTTCATGGCAAAATTGATATCTTTCACCTGGTGTAAACAAATTTTTGAAGTATTGTATGTAATTTGCTGCATCCTCTATTCGGTCAAAATAAAAAACTGTCATCGAAGCAGGCTGTGGATAAATTTTGATATCAAAGATGTAGATTAATGTATAGCAATTGTTTTAAAGAGGCCAACTACAAAAAAAAATGAATATAATGTATTTTTTTGCTAAGAATCTGCAATATCTGGCACCCATCAGTTTACCATCATAGAAGTAAGGTCCTATGATTTTGGTATCAAGAATTCTAACCCAAACGTTTACTGAAAATCTCTGTTGAAATGCAGTTTCTCCGTGCCAATATAAATTACCACTAGTCCATTTGAAGTAAATGTTTCTATTAAAAAATCCGTTGTGATAAAAATTAGGCACATCTGACCAGAGAATTCTAGTGCATATAAAAGGATTTTCCCTCTTTCTTTCTTGTCACCACCTACAGAACCCTAATCTCCTCGGTTTATCTTCCTCTCTCAAACTCAGGAGGTGCACTTTTTTCACCTTATAACATTTGGAACCATTTTTTCGTAATATGAGCCATCCTTCTCTAAATTGCAGTTCAATGTTTTGCTTATTTTTCGTACATAATTTAAAATTCTGTTAACATTACCTATTTTATTAGGGAAGGTTTTCTACATTCCGCAAGTGCTTGAATAGAATTGAAATTGCATTGATAGTACAATACAAACATATTAAATTCTCAATATGTGAAAATATTCATTCAAAATGGTGCAAAAATTTAACTGACATTGATATTCCTTCAGATGTCAATTTCATTTTATCGTTAGGTCCAAAATTTAGTCTATGTCCATCAACCAAGGATTTAAAAATTTCTAGACTATTGGCAGATTTTGAATATAAAATATGCGATGAAAATGAAAGTAAAAAGAATTTATTGAGGGCACAATTCACATATATACTAACAAATTTTATTTATAGCAATGTTGTTTCCGTTCCAATGCCGTTTCTTGAGAAATAAGTTTTTTATTTGTATACATTTTTTGAAAAATCATCCTGAAATTATTGTTACGAGAAGCGACAAAGGCAATGTTACAACTATTATGTATAAGAATCAAAATTTATTAAAATGTGCTCCTTACAGCAAAAAGCTAATATATTTGTATCGAAACTTAAACAAACTCGACAAATTTCCGACGTTGAATCTAAGAATCTTTTATAATTCATGTGCTCCTCTTCTATGCTTTACCTAAAATACATAAACCGGAACTTGCAATGCGTCCAATTGTGTCGTCTATAGTTGTCCAAATGGTTCATTAGCTAAATCTTATAATACCGACAATGATTTTTATGTTAAGGATTCTTTCGATTTTAGGAATTTTATTAATAAAATTATCAATTAGCAGAGGGGTTTGTAGTTGCTAGTTTTGATGTTGTTTCACTGTTTACGAATTTACCTTAACGAGAATTTGAACTAGTATAGCAGCAAATTGGAATTTAATTAATGTTAACTCAAGTTTACATTTAGATAATTTTTTAACAGTTTTAAAATTTATTTTTGATTCTAATTAAGTATTGTTTTTTTGAGAGGGTTTACTACAAACAAATTTTTGGTACCCCAATGGGGTTCACAATTCCACCTATTTTAGCTAATTATGTTTTAAATGATTTGGTTATTGATTGCCTATCAAAGTTACATAGGCTCAGAGAGGGAATTCACCCCCGGGATTCACCACATTATGAATGCAATAAATAAAACACAATGGATTATATTTAGAATTTACCAGTCGTTTCGTTGATGTAGAGACATATTATTCAATATTGTTTTGAATTCTAAGTATTAACTTGACATAACAATATTAATTTAAAATTTATTTCGTATCTTTAAGAAACTAAATTTCTTATCAGAAGAACGATCTCCCATTCAACTGAGATTTTCGTTGAAACAATACACTGTACCGATTTTCAACAAGTATACCTTTTTTTATGTAGAATTGTCGACGGAATCTAAAAATGAATCCCAAATGATTATTAGGTCGTTGGCATAGAAGTTGGGGTAGAAAAATCCCGCTTTACTACCCATTCCTACGCCACTGACCTACAAAAATTTGTAAATTTTACAGTAAATTATGTGCATGTGTAAATATTGTTACTACACCAAATTTGAATCAATTTGTTATAAGCGTACCAAAGATTTCATAAATAATATGATTTTAAAAACCGACCAATACGGCCCTGTACAGTAAAAACGGTGAGACTTAAACCCTTGCTTTATGAGGCAATTCTGAATTATTTATTGAGTTCTATTTGTGGTTAAAGATTGATTCACTTAAACTGAAACACCCTGTATAACAAAAAAAATACTGGTTCTTTACCTTGGGTATATCTAATTCGAAAACCTCTTCTTGAATCACCTAAACTGGTTTTAAAATATAAATATAATTGACTCTTCGTTGATATTATTACTTTTTGATTATTGTCTATGGTTCCAGTAAGTCTAGCTATTGGATTACTGTTAGGAGAATCCCCGTCTCTTGCGAGAATAAAATCTCGATTATTTTCAAGGTCTAAGTCATCAATATCCAAGGTTATAATTCTTCCGCTTTGTGCTTTTATAATATATAAACATTCGAGACCACCTGGATACTGTTCGGGATATCCAGAAGATACCAGTACTTGCCCTTGTGGTGTAGCTCTAAGTATACCTCCACAAGTTTGTGGTTCCGTTTTCCAAGAAGCACGAAAACCTTTCCTTTCGACAGATCCATCTGTGCTGAATTTAATTATCATAAAATTTGAGGCAGATATGAAAGATTTGTTGGTTAAATCTTGTCTACCTGAAATTGTAGCAAGGTTAACAGATGCATCCTCAGTTCTACCTCCTACTAAAATTTGCACTGTATCATAAGTTTTTTCTGTTTCAAATTCTTGAAACTGCAGTAAAATATTATGTCCTTGGGGCCCCTCGAGGGTCCATTTACAGTTTGTGAGAGGAGCATATTTATGAGGATAATAAGGACTCTCTACTACATCACCGCTACTGGCCAGGTAGAAATTACAATTTGACGGACAATCTAATTCATCTGAACCATCGCCACAGTCATCCTGTTTATCACATTTAAATTTTTCATTAATACATTTTCCATTAGAACAATGAAAAGATCCAATGGGACAAGCTTTTGAACGACACATAAATGGTAGTAAACTTTCACAAGTAGTTAATTCCCATGATTGAGTTTCTTCTGTTAAAACGACGTCAACACATTCTCCTTTCGTTGGGTTTGGGTGGTTTATAGACCAAAATCCTAAATAAAAATTATAAAATTAATTTATTAATAAAATTGTTTTAAAAGAGCATCTATTAGAAAAAGATAGGATTTTATGGTAAGTATTAGATTTATTAATTGAAATAACTTAGATATGTGTTAAGTTGGTAAATATAAGCAATTCCCTGGAATCATTAGTCGAGGAAATAAAGCACAAAAAGAGCCGAAATCTTTGAAATTTTTCGATCAAGTCGTTTTAAGATGGGGTTTTTTGCATTCGCTTTCTAAAATTATGTGAAAAAAATGTAGCAACTTTGTTATTATGTTTTTCGGCCAAACTGAATTTGTGCAGTGCAAAATGCTTCCGGAAAATGCATTTTTTAAAGTCACTTAGAAAAAATTCCTAACTCGGTTAATAATGCCTGGAATAGACTCAAATCAGGGTCCTGGGGGTTTTCGAGGTCGCTGATCCCGAATATGACCTTCAAGTTGGTCCATTGCCGACCTGGAGCTTAGGATTGATGATGAAGGTCATCTCCGAGGCTTCTCCTGAATCGCTGATTCCTAATTTAGCAAGCACCCCCCGGTCACCTGGTGCACCGGAACCTGGAGATGGACGTCATCTCCGGGAGTTTTCCTGTAAAATTCGCGTAAACCAGCCGAAAATCGCATCAGGGGGTTTTTCGGGGCGCTCTTCTCGAATATGGCGTCGGCGGCCACCCCCCGGACACCTGGTTCACCGGAACCTGGACCTTGAAATCGGTTTCATCGCCAGAAAAATCAATAAGCAGTGAATTTTCAATATATTTAAGACTGCCGTTAATACTGCAATAACTTGTTTGAAATTGTTAATCTCATTTAAAGTATGCAAGATGAAAATAGAGGGAATAAATTGAATGAATTTATTTCCAAATCAATGGCCATTGCTAACCTACTCTTAACTTCAATTTAATTTAATAATCTAACTAATAGTTGATTAGATTAGGATAAAATAGAGTTAGATTACATTTGAGTTAAATTAAATTGAAGTTAAGAGTAGGTTAGAAATGGCAATTGATTTGGAAATAAATATGTGACATTCATTCAATTTATTCCCTCTATTTTCATCTTGCATACTTTATCTTGCATACTTTAAATGAGATCAATTCCAAACAAGTTATTGCAGTATTAACGGCAGTCTCAAATATATTGAAAATTCACTGTTTATTGATTTTCCTGGCGATGACGCCGATTTCAAGGTCCAGGTTCCGGTGCGCCGATGCCAGATTCGAGAAAAGCGCCTCGAAAAACCCCCTGATGCGAATTTTACAGGAAAACTCCCGGAGATGACGTCCATGTCCAGGTTCCGGTGCACCAGGTGTCAGGGGGGTGCTCGCCGACGCCAGATTAGGAATCATCGACTCGAAAAACCCCCGGGTGTCAAGTCTCGTTGCATTTAAGAGTGAAATTCAGGAGAAGCCTTGGAGATGACGTTCAACATCGATCTTCAGGTCGGCGATGGACCAATTTGAAGGTCATATTCGAGATCAGCGACCTCGAAAACCCCCAGGACTCTGATATGAGTCCAGTCCAGGCATAGACTAACCAAGTTATGAATTTTTTTAGGTGACTTTAAAAAATTCATTTTTCCGGATGCATTTTGCATTGCACAAATGCAATTTGGCCGAAAAACATAATATAAAGTTGTTACATTTTTTTCATATAATTTTAGAAACCGAATGCAAAAAACCCCATCTTGATACGACTTGATCGAAAAATTTCGGAGGTTCAGTGCTTTATTTCCTCGACTACATGTTGATAAGGCGAAAATAAATCTAATCCATAAATCCGTATTTTTTTCATAAGGTCTGTTTCAACAAGAGTCAGGGATTGGTTCCCAACCGTTCGAAATGTTTGGCCAGCTAAATTCTAAATGTGTCTTCAGTGAATATATCGCAAGAATTAGTTGAATGCACATTTCTGACGATTTGGAACCAATCCCTGACTCTTGTTGGAACAGACCTATAATATATTATTATTCAGATATTCTTTAGGTTAAGATTTGGAATTATTTTCTATTTGTGGCATAGTTCTATATTTTTTCTGTTATTTGGGTATTTGATTACATGTGTAGTGTAAGAATAGTTTTAGTGTTTAAAACTTAAACTGTTAACTATTGAATTTGCATTATTTAATGTAGAACACGGTTCAACAGTAATATGTAGAGGAGAATAAATTATACTGTAGCACTGAAAGGATGTCTTATTAACTTTCCTCACATTCGTTCTAGTAAAACGTAAGTTAATGGAATAACTAATAACCCGAATATTACACATGTAAAAAAACAGAATTAATACTTGCGCAAAATAGGTGGAAAAATGCCTTTATAAGCAAAAAAATTGTTAAAAGATTACATGTCACCCGAATTTTCACACCATTTCTCTCACGAATCGCTAATTATGTCGAGCAGTAAGAAGTAAACATCAGTGTTAAATCCATGGTGATTAGATAGTTGTGTCAACAATATTTGTTGCTGATTTTCCTTATATCTCAATAGATAGAGTGCCCGTCGGAAAAACTTTTATTGATACATACTCTCTCCAAACTTCCTATATAGCTTCATTAGGTCTGACACATTTTTCCTCAGTGACTTTTTTCAATTTTGGGGCGTTTTTCTCCTAATTTTTCCGAAACACGCCATTTTCACGACATATGAAAAATTTATAGATACTATTTTTTTTTAAATTGATTAGCTTAAAAACTTCGAATGAAACGTGAAAATAAAATCCTCTGACAAAAGATATGAGCCGTTCAAATTGTCTGCAACCTCGAACATGTTAGAAAACCTACTATAAAATTTTTTATTAATAACCAGCTGATTTTCTCAAGATCCTATCTCTAAGAACTACAAAAACAACTTTTGTAACAACAACAAAATTATTTTCTGATTTTCCAGTCTGACGCGTCAAAGTTGTCGATTTCATGACTACAAAAAAATTTATTAATAACAATTTTTTTCAACATTTTTTGGTTTTTAAATTGAATTTGAAAAATTGTCTGATATTGAAACGGAGCCCTTTACATGAAAATACTAAATAAAAGAATTTTTAATATAGTTTTCTAGCTACGCTTGGACCATGCGTTCGCAAGTATAAATTGAGACCATATTTATTAATAACCAGCTGATTTTTCTACCAAAGCTTAATTAAAATAAATAGAATACAATTTTTTAATTGTATGATAAAATGTATTTTCCAATTTTTCAGTCTGATGCAAGAAATACAATTCTTTAATGTTTGTAATCCACCCTCATAATTTCATAATTATTTCATATTAATCTTTGATGAATAAATTTTATTACTTCAGAAATTATTGATGAATCATTTTTATTTAATATATTATCAAAGTTTACAGAATATTTATTCTGTAAACTTTGATATTATTCATTCAAATGATGAGATGTCCAACGACATTCAAACCAGAGGATTGTGGGTGGACATTAATAGATAATGAGTTTCACCATTATTGGTTTAATGGGCCTCAAAGTTCTTCTTTTGAAGATATATCTTCAAATATTACAGGTACGGTGTTAATTATGTTTACTATTTTTAATAATAAACAACAATTTCAAATTAGCCTTTTTTATTCTTTATATGTTTAATGTTCAAATTGTACGAGTATGTTTTTATATTTTATTTCTTTATCTCTTTATTCTTTGTAGAAGGATATTGCACGCACACATTTCTGCAAGCATAAAAATTGAAAAAAAAACAATGTGCTATATATGTAATGCAAATCAAAAAAGTACAAAACATTATAAATTAAAAACGATGATTTTCAAGAAATATATTTTAAAAAATTTAAAATAAATTTCAATTTTTATGAGTAGGAAGTTTTAAACAAATTTAATTTTTCATCAAACAATTACCAAGAAAAACATGTTTGGAAAATTAGGAATTTTTTCTTTAACTAAATGCTCTAACTATTTTGGTGGAACTTTTCTCAGCCAATTTTGCATAAATTGAGCTAAAAATTGTTTTAAATATACATTGCAATATTACAAAGGGCACGATATAACCATTTTATGAAAATTTTAATAAAAGCTATGGTAAAGTCTTTTCTTCATTTTAACTTAAAATTGCCGCATTTTTTACATTTTTAGGCTCTCATGAAGGAAAATATCGTTCGATACATGTTTGGGACATATTTTCTGGACGAGTCTGATTGAACTTGCACACTCATCCCCCAAAAATCTTTTGAAAAATACTATTAGAATCTTTCAAATTATGTATCAAAAATTTCAGCTCAAAATTTTCCAAAAATTTTCCCGGAATTTCCCGGAAAATCTTATTGGAAAATTTCGATAAAACGCCTAATTCATAAGGCTTTAAGTAGTACGCAAATAAGTTTTTAGCTCGATCCTAGCAAAATTGACGTAAAAAAATGATTAAACATTTTTTTATCCTAGCAGTCCTTAAGAAATAAACTAAATTTTCAGATGCTGATGATGAATATCTTGATTCTGAAACTGAGGAAGAAGACAATAATTACGACAGTGATGATACAGATGAAGAAAGTAGGGATGACGATGAAGGCGATGACGAAAATTAAGCAAAATTAAATTTTTTATAATTTTTTTATTTTGATTTTATAATTTTTTTTTATTTTCAAAATTTTCGAAATTTTTCCTATAAAATCATTTATATTATTTAATAAAATACATGATTATTTTCATTTATTAATTACCTAATTAATGTAGTTTTTATTTATAGTACCGTAAAAAAGCTGAATAACGATTATTGAAATAATAATTATTACAAACTAGAATATAGGACTATCATTGTCGAATAATGTCATTTTTTCGTCAGACTTTAGTTACGCCCCAGTATACAGGGTGATTCAGTCATAATGTCATTAATTTTAACCACGTATTCGGAAGGCTTAATAAAGACAGAAAATCGGAAAAAAATTTTTACTCGACTTTTAAAAATGAAGGAAATCAACCCATAACTCCCGCTAAGAGAGCGGCCCTGCCAGATGCCCGGATGCTCGGAAAATTT